AAATCAGACAATCCAAAATACAGCGTATTTCTGAGTTGCATAGGGTGGCAATTGCGGCTGAGACCGATACTACATTGCATTCTTTATTCGAATCCCGTTTCACCGATATTGATGAGATAAAAAGTTGACTCGGACGGTGCACTGAAAATTCTAGGGTTGCAATGGAATCCTACTGCTGATGCCTTCAAGTTCTCCATTAATCCAGTTCATTCTGAATGTACAAAACGAAATATATTGTCCAACCTTGCCCAGATCTTAGACCCGCTGGGTTTTGTACCTTCGTCTTCTCTCCCCTCATAATCATTGCAATGTTCAATTTATTTGCTCTAAATCCAGAGTTGCTCCAATAAAAAAATCTTTCTCCCATGGCTCGAATTATGTGCGGCTGTCTTAGCGACACGTCTGGTTTCTTCAATTTTTCGAGTGTACCGAAATAAGTTGCATTTCAGTCAAATTTATTGTTGATGTGACTCTGAAGTAGTCCTAGACTGGTTGAAATCGCCGCCTAACCGTTGGTCTACATTCGTCGCTAATAGAGTGGCATTTATCCAGGCGCAAGATAAAATCACCAATTGGTGTCATGTCTCATCCAGTGAAAATCCGACCGACATTGGTTCCCGGGGAGCACTACCTTCCAAACTATTAAACAGTACTTTGTGGTGGAAAGGGCCAAATCTGTTGAGAGACCCTGGTTTAACCCCAGCTGGATATGAAGTGGACGACAACATTCCCCCTTCCTCATCGGTATTAGATGAAGAACGGAAAACCACTCTAGTAAGCACAAACTTCTTGGATTCATTGATAGAAACTGATACTTCTTTCACCTCCATCCTACATGTGATAAGTTATGTACGGCGGTTTATTCAAAATTTTCGACACCCTTTCAGAAAAAACGTAGGTGCGATTAGTGGCCTTGAAATTGATTGTTCACTCATTTCATTGGCACAGCGGTCTGGAGTAATATATTTTTGGGAGGAAATCGTACTTCTCAAAGCAAATAGTCAACTACCGAAACCATTTGCAAACTTATCCCCATTTCTGGATGATAAGGATTGCTTGCGAGTTGGCGGACGTCTCTCGCAAGCCCCTATTCAATACGATCGTAAATCCTCCCTCCTCTTGCCTTCTAAAAGCCCTTTCACGGATGCTCTGATCCGATATTTCCATTTACGATATCTTCATGCGGAAAATCAAACGGTGCCATTCCTTATTGCGCAGCAGTTCTGGATATTTCCTGCCAAACGTGCCATTCTTCGGATTTTAACTCGGTGCATTCGATGCTTCAAAGCAAAACCCAGATCTTTCCAGCCTCTCATGGGAAACCTTCCTTCCTGTAGGCTATCCCAGTGTAAACCCTTTCTTCACGTTGGGGTAGACTTAGCAGGCCCTCTTCGCATGACTTTGTCGAGACAGCGGGGAAATGAATCTACTAAGTCATATATCTGCCTTTTTATCTGCTTCAACACCAAGTTGGTTTCCGACTTATCGTCTGAAGCATTCCTGGCTGCCTTGCGTAGATTTATAGCTAGACGCGGCAAATGTCTTCACCTCTACTCGGACCAAGGAACCAATTTTGTCGGGGCTTATAAGGAGCTTCAGATGCTCATGCAACAATCAGCTTCACAGGAATCTATTTCGTGGCATTTTAATCCTTCTTGTAGTCCGAATTTTGGTGGGTTATGGGAGAGGGATGCAGTCCGTTAAATCCCACTTGAAGAAAGTCATGGGTGATCAAATTCTCACGTACGAGGAACTATACACGGTTTTAACTCAAATCGAGTCCGTTTTGAATATTGGACCAATTTCACCACTAAGTAATGATTCTCATGACCTCAGCGCTCTGACGCCTGGTCATTTTCTTACCATAGAGCCTTCGTCTGCTCCTCCCGAACCTAGTCTACTTTCGCTACCAGCAAATTCATCAACAATTTTGGCGGCGCTGGTCTCATGATTATCTTCATACCCTTTGCCAAGAAGGGAAATGGGTCCATCATGCTACCTCAATCGAATGCGGCACCCTAGTAGTCCTCAAAACGGATGATACTCCCTCCTTGACTTGGCTCATGGGACGTGTCAAGGAGGTATACCCGGAAAGAGATGGTCAGGTGAGGGTGGTTAAGGTTCGCACCTCACAGGGAGTGTATAAACGTTCAGTTAGCAGGCTTTGCCCGCTTCCTCTGGACCCGATACCTAGTTTGTCTCCTCATTTCTAAAATGCTTCGAATTTTGGTGGGGAGCATGTCGTGTCCTCACAATATTTTTGTATATAGTGTGTGTATGTGTGTGTCATTCTTTCAGAAGCATTTCAAATGTTAATTTGTTAATTTGTTGATTTGTTAATTTGTTAATTTGTTAATTTGTTGATTTGTTGATTTGTTGATTTGTTGATTTGTTGATTTGTTGATTTGTTGATTTGTTGATTTGTTGATTTGTTGATTTGTTGATTTGTTGATTTGTTGATTTGTTGATTCGTTGATTCGTTGATTCGTTGATTCGTTGATTCGTTGATTCGTTGATTCGTTGATTCGTCGATTCGTCGATTCGTCGATTCGTCGATTCGTCGATTCGTCGATTCGTCGATTCGTCGATTTGTCGATTTGTCGATTTGTCGATTTGTCGATTTGTCGATTTGTCGATTTGTCGATTTGTCGATTTGTCGATTTGTCGATTTGTCGATTTGTCGATTTGTCGATTTGTCGATTTGTCGATTTGTCGATTTGTCGATTTGTCGATTTGTCGATTTGTCGATTTGTCGATTTGTCGATTTGTCGATTTGTCGATTTGTCGATTTGTCGATTTGTCGATTTGTCGATTTGTCGATTTGTCGATATGTCGATTTGTCGATTTGTCGGTTTGTCGATTTGTCGATTTGTCGATTTGTCGATTTGTCGATTTGTCGATTTGTCGATTTGTCGATTTGTCGATTTGTCGATTTGTCGATTTGTCGATTTGTCGATTTGTCGATTTGTCGATTTGTCGATTTGTCGATTTGTCGATTTGTCGATTTGTCGATTTGTCGATTTGTCGGTTTGTCGATTTGTCGATTTGTCGATTTGTCGATTTGTCGATTTGTCGATTTGTCGATTTGTCGATTTGTCGATTTGTCGATTTGTCGATTTGTCGATTTGTCGATTTGTCGATTTGTCGATTTGTCGATTTGTCGATTTGTCGATTTGTCGATTTGTCGATTTGTCGATTTGTCGATTTGTCGATTTGTCGATTTGTCGATTTGTCGATTTGTCGATTTGTCGATTTGTCGATTTGTCGATTTGTCGATTTGTCGATTTGTCGATTTGTCGATTTGTCGATTTGTCGATTTGTCGATTTGTCGATTTGTCGATTTGTCGATTTGTCGATTTGTCGATTTGTCGATTTGTCGATTTGTCGGTTTGTCGATTTGTCGATTTGTCGATTTGTCGATTTGTCGATTTGTCGATTTGTCGATTTGTCGATTTGTCGATTTGTCGATTTGTCGATTTGTCGATTTGTCGATTTGTCGATTTGTCGATTTGTCGATTTGTCGATTTGTCGATTTGTCGATTTGTCGATTTGTCGATTTGTCGATTTGTCGATTTGTCGATTTGTCGATTTGTCGGTTTGTCGATTTGTCGATTTGTCGGTTTGTCGATTTGTCGATTTGTCGATTTGTCGATTTGTCGATTTGTCGATTTGTCGATTTGTCGATTTGTCGATTTGTCGATTTGTCGATTTGTCGATTTGTCGATTTGTCGATTTGTCGATTTGTCGATTTGTCGATTTGTCGATTTGTCGATTTGTCGATTTGTCGATTTGTCGATTTGTCGATTTGTCGATTTGTCGATTTGTCGATTTGTCGATTTGTCGATTTGTCGATTTGTCGATTTGTCGATTTGTCGATTTGTCGATTTGTCGATTTGTCGATTTGTCGATTTGTCGATTTGTCGATTTGTCGATTTGTCGATTTGTCGATTTGTCGATTTGTCGATTTGTCGATTTGTCGATTTGTCGATTTGTCGATTTGTCGGTTTGTCGATTTGTCGATGATTTGTTGATTTGTTGATTTGTTGATTTGTTGATTTGTTGATTTGTTGATTTGTTGATTTGTTGATTTGTTGATTTGTTGATTTGTTGATTTGTTGATTTGTTGATTTGTTGATTTGTTGATTTGTTGATTTGTTGATTTGTTGATTTGTTGATTTGTTGATTTGTTGATTTGTTGATTTGTTGATTTGTTGATTTGTTGATTTGTTGATTTGTTGATTTGTTGATTTGTTGATTTGTTGATTTGTTGATTTGTTGATTTGTTGATTTGTTGATTTGTTGATTTGTTGATTTGTTGATTTGTTGATTTGTTGATTTGTTGATTTGTTGATTTGTTAGGTTGTTGATTTATTGTTGTTGATTCGTTGATTTGTTGATCTGATTATTGTTGATTCTGATAAAATGTTGAATGACTTTATCGTTCATTATTTCAGGAAGCAGTTGCCAGAGCATTTGAAACAGAAATGGACTTGTTCAATACCGATAAATCCTATTTCAAGTCTCTAGCATTAGAGTTGAAAGGGAAGCGAGATTATTTAGCGAACATTTTGGAAGATGTCGGAATGCGACCCATTCTACCCAATGGAGGATATTTTATACTTGCTGACTGGACTCCTCTAGGTATCACAATCTTCCTAGTCGAAGTTATAATTCCTTGATTTCGTGATTGATTGATTGTATTTATCACTCCAAGAAACATTTGTGTTTATAATGAGTATATAAAAACACATTTAATATATAATGAAATTTCAACCACACTTCTCAAGATCACGCATCATATAACTCCACAATCAATACTTTGTGGCAGGCAAGAAATGAGAGAAAATGTAGTAGATATCCAGAATTCAAGAAATAGATATATTCCTGAAGACAATAATTATTGGTAGTTATACCACCACCGAGATACGTTGAATGTAATGTAGTCGAGATCATGAATGAAGCAAGATTCCTGATAACAGACTGATAATTATCATTTTCAGCTCCAAATGTTGAACTTCATTCCGAAGCAGATGAGAATAAAGACTTCCGTTTCACAAAATGGATGACGAAAAATGTTGGTCTTCAAGGGATACCATGCTCAGTATTTTTCAGCAGTGTCAATAAAACTATTGGAGAGAATTACGTTCGCTATTGCTTTACTAAGGTAAGTAACGATTTGGATATCCATTAATTAACTCATGTTCAGCTAACGCAATGGTACCTCCAAGTGGAAATACTCGTATAATACATCAATCTGACATCGATTTGTCAAATCGATATTCAGGGTGTATCATAATATACCGTACACACTTCAAGGGGTATCAGGGCGCCTCAAAAGAATGAAAACAGTTTTCATAAACATTGGTTGTCGAAGGCTTCCTTTGCGAGATACAGGGTGTAGGAGTTGAAAATATGAAATAATTTGCATCGAATTCCTAATAACCGTTCTACAAAAATCTTGATATTCTGGTGAATCACTGAGTACCTGAGGGTAATCAAATTGGTAGCAACTTACAGTTTATCTGACCATCGGTGGCACTGTTGAGAGATATGAATATGTGATTCTCCAGAAGAAACATGGGTTGCGATGAGACTTTCCGAGATTTCATTCGAAAATATGAAAGAAGATGCGATGTTCCAGAAAAAAGTTTTCGCAGGAATAGTACAAAAAAACACACTCGATAATGCCTATCAGTGTCAATTTTCTGCAGTTTTCATTCTCGTTTATTTGCTCGAGGCATCCCAATAGCATAACAAATGTTCATAACCTCCATCATTGAGCCAAGAACCCTCGTTCAACGAGGAAAACTAGTTTCGAACGAAAGTTTTTTGTTAATGTGCTGATGGGACTCATCGACAGTTATTTAATAGGACCACATTTTTTCCTAGACACTTGAAACAGGAAAATATATGCAAATTTTCTACGACATGATCTACAGAAGCTTCTTGAGGATGTTTCTCTCGCCATCAGAGGACGGATGATATTTCAACAGAACGGTTGGTCAGCGCATTATCGGCTGATCGATCGGCAGTTCTCAGATGATCGTTTCATGAACCGTTGGATCAGAAGGTCGAATAGGTTGGCCAGCGCGAAGCCCTAACCTAACCCCCCTTGATCATTATGTGTGGGGTCATATGGAAGTAGCGCTTCAATGGAACCTCATTAAATACCCGGGAAGAATTCATACAAATGATAACCGACGCTGCCCTGTACATACAAAATGACTTGACGACTATAATAAAAAAGACGGAAATAAGATGACACTGCCGAGCATATATTCTTAATAGTGGTCTTATTTTGAACAGGATTTGGAAAAAGTAAATACTGATAGTAGAAGTTTCTCAAGTATGTTTTCACTATTCATTTGAAATAACAAATCCGTATCAAGCACCTTCATTATCATTTGTACCCAGTTATTGCATTGAAGAAATTTTAACAAACTCTTGACTAATGTGGATTAGAGATTTTTTCTTAATATCTGCTACAAAGTGTTGAGATCCACAATCATTGAACAATCATACAATATTCACCTACAATTCATCTATAATCTACATTGTTTCTGGAATTTTTTCATTCCAAACATGTATTCTAGTTAAAAGATTGAAAAAATGTACAGCAGATTTTAGAAAAACTAACTTGCAAACCCTGGAAGTCTACATTTTGAAGATGAACAGAAAAAATTAAATATCTCGAATACTATTAACTTTTGCCTGATCCAAATCGAGGTTGAATTCACTCCCTGCCACCTCTCCTATCACATCACAAAAGGAATGTATCGAATACCCGTAACCCTGTAGAACCATGATATATATAATAATTTGGAATTGCGGCACTATGCCAGTCACATAACAGACACAATTTTGATACTACGATTAGTCATACAGGGTGGACATGAGGAAATTCTAAAAAATTCTGCAACTTCAACGCGCTGTATCTTGCCAACGAAGCCTTCTAAGACTTTCGTTTATTGAATTTTTTTGTTTTCTTGAGATGCTCTATCACCTCTCGGAGTGCATCCCTCATATTATGAAACACCTTGTATACATATTGAATCTCATGATTGGGAAATCCTGCGTGCAGGCTAGATGATCCTCCATTCTATATAAACTACTCAACACTAATTTCGTCGCACACCAAAATGTCGCCCCTGTTATAATGTGAATAACTTTTTTCACTTTCGATCGATTTGAATTCCGTTCACACTGTTCGATAGCCCAGTTCTCCAGCTATAATCTGGTACTTCATTGAAACATAAGGGTATTCACATAAAATCTCTACATGGTGTTTTCCGACACTGTGCAAAATTTCGGAATATTCAAAAGGCTCTCAAATGGTGAAAAAAAATTGTTTCTCAACTTCGACAACAGAGGCATGAAGATGATCTCATTTCCTCGAGATATTTCACGAATCAACTTCCTATCTCTCTTATTTACAGAGTGATCTCAAAGAATCAACTTTTTGGTTTTGTAGCCATAACTTTTTTCCACGTCAACCGATTTTGGAAATCTTAGGCTCATTTTGAAGATAAAACTTCAGATGAAGATATCTGAATATCAGAATTGACTCAAGATGGCTATCAAAGATCTAGAAATTTCTTGAAAGTGACCCAAATCTGGAACGCCCTCCGAATATCGGTTGGGAGGAGAATTGAATGAAAATCAACTTGTTCTCGGAAAAACAATCCATTCTGGATGCGTCCATATTTTCCTTGCTCTCAGTACTCAAGAATGTGCGTGAGAAAACACTATTGAAACATGATGTTCTTGCAAAAACATCAGACCATTTCTCCTCTGTAATGCATGGCCCGTAACCAACGTTACAAGAATCACAGTAAGTGACTGACAAGTCAGGTTAGACGTCGTTTTCGAATCATAAACAGATTTTGATAGTTTCGATGCCGCATCTAACGCCCGACCAGTTGGAAATGATTCCGCAAATGACTCAAATGAGGGAACAAGGGTTATCTTCCCTCCAAATCGCGGATCTGCTAAACACGACAGTCCGATTCATTCAAAGGGCTTCTCCGACACGAATTGTTTGGTTATTGCTGTCGATTCGTTCGGCGCATCATTGCGACTGAAAACTTTACGTCATTGGCAAACTGTTTTCGTGAAACTTTCACCATTTTGAAATGCGTTTTTACAATAAATAAACGTTGTTTGCTTGAATACTTCTCCATATTCTTAAATCGCATGTTATGTTCGTGACAACTGTTAAAAAAATCACTTTATTGAAAAAATCAAAATCCGTTGCTCTTGTTGGTACACCATTTATGATGAGCCTCAGCTGGTCGGGTTTGTCAGTCACTCATTGTGATTCTTGTAACGTTGGTTACGGAGGGCCATGCATTACAGAGGAGAAATGATCTAATGTTTTTGCAAGAACATCATGTTTCAATAGTGTTTTCTCACGCACAATTCTTGACTACTGAGACCGAGGAAAATATGAACGCATCCAGAATGAATTGTTTTTCCGAGAACAAGTTGATTTTCATTCAATTCTCCTCCTAACCAAGATTCGAAGGGCGTTCCAGATTTGGGTCACTTTCAAGAAAACTCTAGATCTTCGATAGTCATCTTGAGTCAATTCTGATATTCAGATCTCTTCATCTGAAGTTTTATCTTCAAAATGAGCCTAAGATTTCTAAAATCGGTTGACGTGGAAAAAAGTTATGGCTGCAAAACCAAAAAGTTGATTTTTTGAGATCACTCTGTAAATAAGAGAGATAGGAAGTTGATTTCAGAAATATCTCGAGGTAATGAGATCACCTTCATGCCTCTGTTGTCGAAGTTGAGAAAAAAAATGTTTTCACCATTTGAGAGCCTTTTGAATATTCCGAAATTTCGCACAGTGTCAGAAAACACCATGTAGAGATTTTATGTGAATACCCTTATGTTTCAATGAAGTACCAGATTATAGCTGAAGGACTGGGCTATCGAACAGTGTGAACCAAATTCAAATTGTTCTAAACTGAAAAAAGTTATTCACATTATAACAGGGGCGACATTTTGGTGTGCGACGAAATTAGTGTTGAGTAGTTTAGTATGTTTGTAAAGGGTATTACATAACATGGAACATCTTCTTATCTAGTAACTTGATTAAGATTGGAGATCAAAGTTGTTCATAGTCATATAACTTTTTTTCCAGATGTCAATTATAATATTAATGATAATGATAATAAATGACCTTTATTCTACATGGCGGAGTTTAGCATAGCTATTCTACCACTTAACCAAGGTTTGTTCACAAAGTTGGTATACAATTTAGATATAGTAATTTATATATAGGTACATAAACAAGATGATAATAACTCTAAATTAAGTGTATATAAGTAATATGAGTACTAGTGTGTTATTTCATCATGTATTTCGCTGATGCTTATCCAGAAGTGACTGTTTGAGTTTTTTATTCAAGGTGGGTAAAGACAAATGTTCCAGATCTTGACTAATAGAATTATATAAGGTTACGGCCTGATAAGTAAAGGACCGCTCAAAGAAGGTGGTTCTATGTAAGGGCATTGTCAATTCTTCGATGTTACGGAGATTTATCATGTGAACCTCACGTCGATGTAGAAATGTTTTCAGGAGGTAGGAAGGCGTTTGCTTCGAGATTGATTTGTAAATGAATATTGCAAAGTGTTGCTTTCTTCTATCATGCATTTTTAGCCATTCAACTTGGTTAATGTAAGGAGACACATGTTCTCTATAATTCAGACCAAAAATAAACCTAGTACAGGCGTTTTGAACTTTTTGTATTCGTGCTGAAGTAATTAAATCTAGGCATGGACCATAGACTATGTCACAATAATTGAAGATAGACAAGACTAGAGAGTCACACAACATTTTTTTCAGAGGTCTGCCAAGAAAGTGTCTACTAGCATAAAGATTTTTCATTGTTAGATAAGCACGTTGAACAAGACTGTTCACATGATTTGTGAATTTCAGGTTACTATCGATCCATAAACCCGAGCATTTGATTTTTTTTACTGTTGTCAATGGTGTGGTTTTCGACTTTCTACCGCAGATTTTCAGTTACTTTCTGTTGCAACTTTTTCAACTATTTTTGATATGGCTGGTAAAATGTTGATTGGTCTCAGATCATTCAATGTTGATGGCTTGGGAATTTCATTGATTGGAAATATCAAAGCCTTTTTCCAGATTTCT